CGATCTTGGGCATCCTGGAAAGGCCTTGGCGAGAGGAGCGCAATGAGCGTACACTCGACTCCACGGGATGCACTGGTCCAGCGCTGCAAGCCAGGGAAGGCCCACCAGCGCTGGGCCCACGCTCGAGATCTATCTCTATCCACCATTTCACTCCTGTTGCTCGTATCAAACTCAACAATTTTCGTGAGACTCCCGGGAACCTGCTGTTGAAGTTGAATCAGCGTAGTCTTGTCAACAGGTGACGTAAGCAGGGAAAATCCCGGCCGTTGACCCACGCATCGCGCTCTGAGCGCAAATTTCCCGGGACCAACATTACGAGTGCTATAACTCAAGAACCGCTCTTTGTATCGCTTTGAAATTTATTTGAGGCGACAGCTGAGAGTTTTCTCTTCGACCTACATATTTCGATCTTTACGAAAGACCGAGATTTGAGCAAGTTACGAAAATTTCAAAATGCCTACCCCATCGAACATCGGTGTTCGATCAATGTATAGGCCAGCCAATAAAGGGTTAACAGTGGCACAGGGGTAACCTGTTCTGCGACTGCTGATTGTTGGCCTGATGCCACTTGGCCAGAAACCGACTCAACAGGCGAATTCAAGATCGCCTCAGCAGCAGCCATCACACCAACACTCTCCTTATCAAACTTAGCCTCCCACTCGTCCAACTCATTCAACAGTTGCTAACTCTCTTGGGATTCCAACATGCTGCGCATAATTTCTAAAACCGAATTCAGCTCTGACCGTACAAATTCTAATTTACGGACATCAGGCTGCAAATATCGGCGAGACGGCGACGAGCAAGCAATCAGTGTTCGCAAGCGGTTACTGATCCGCGTGTGGCGTCTACGGAGGTTTGTTCTCTGACGAATCAACTCTTTCCAGCGGTCCTCAAGTTCCTCAACAGGAGTTTCACCCACGCTCGTACCATAATGGCGGGGCGTAAAACTACGAGTCACAAACTCTGGTGGTGGCGGAAACGCCATTACCACCGCTGACACTACAAGTCGAAACCTGTCGGATCCAGCTCGAAGGACCAAATGTTTCACCGGTTCCCTGCCAAACCCACAATTACATCAGACACAACCATTGGAAGCATCGAACTATTTAGAAGACTGTATTACCAAACATGTTCTCAAAAGACCATTGAAGAATCTAACTCAAAAAGAACAAAGAACGGAGAGCTGGGGACGCACGTACCCGGCCCCGTACCTGACACACAGCCAAGGAGGACGACACCGTAGCGTCCCCACGCTTGACTGGCAAAGAAAACAGCAAGCAAAGAAAATCGGCCAGCGGGCGCAGTTCAAACATCTTGAACGACACGCTCAAAGCAAAACACGTGACAGAATATAATGCATGATGTCATCTGTACTCACGCGGACATGCAAAAAAGGTCAAATCTACACAAAAGCGAGTGCCGCAAGAAACAACACAAATAAATAATAATTCAAACAGCGAAGAACTAGAAAGGCAGATTTCTAATTATCGAAGAACAAGAATGTATCGTAGAGTCCCAGCGCAACTGCCGGAGGATGCTGGCACCCACCAGACGGGTGGTGGCTGCCCCTGCCAGAGAGATAGAACGAAAACTGAAGCAGAGGAGCCACGTTACAAATAGTGAAACGCACAAGGTAAGAATAATCGAGCAGGTTCCGATTACGACATACTGAGTAAGATACATGTTAAACGAAGACAAACACTAACAAATGGAGAACGTTCCAACAAAAGGACTCAGAAAAGGATTCCGACCAAAAATATATAAAATGAAATATTTCAAATCGACAAGAAGCACTATGTACATTGTATGCTCCTTCATTAGCAGGTGTGTATATAACAGCCTCATTGGGGATCTGCCCTCTTTTCGGATGACCTACATCATGAAATCATAATATACGTGTGGAGAAAGAGGCGAATTATTCTACTTCATGAAGCTACATGAAGCTACTGAAGTCCATCGAACCTTCGACTCGGCAAACCTGCAAGAAAGCACCACTCCCTGCTCAATACACAGTGTTTCGGGGAATTCACCCCTCATCAGTTGAGCTTGAGTAGGCTGAGGAAGATTGTGCCTGAAGAGCACCACTTATATAGTGCTCTCCAGGCACAAACATCACCAGGGATACAAACTTACAGAGACGCTCCGTTTCCAGCGCGACAAACACGTCGTGAACACCAGATAGCAGCGTCAGTCAGTGTCGCTCCTGGACGGTGAGACAGACGTCGAGGACCCTCGGTCATTCGCAACGCTGTCACCTCCAAACCAACTAGTCGCAAGCCCGCGCTGGGCACAACAGTACGAAGAAGTGGTTGCGACTTCGGCGATATTTTGTAAGAAAGGGTTTGCTCCCCACACCGGAGCTCGCGCTATTCCGCCGACTTTACTTGACACTTGACTGACTCACGACTGCCATCCAGAGCACACGAGAAGTCCATCGAACCTTCGACTCGGCAAACCTGCAAGAAAGCACCACTCCCTGCTCAATACACAGTGTTTCGGGGAATTCACCCCTCATCAGTTGAGCTTGAGTAGGCTGAGAAAGATTGTGCCTGAAGAGCACCACTTATATAGTGCTCTCCAGGCACAAACATCACCAGGGATACAAACTTACAGAGACGCTCCGTTTCCAGCGCGACAAACACCTCGTGAACACCAGATAGCAGCGTGAGTCAGTGTCGCTCCTGGACGGTGAGACAGACGTCGAGGACCCTCGGTCATTCGCAACGCTGTCACCTCCAAACCAACTAGTCGCAAGCCCGCGCTGGGCACAACAGTACGAAGTAGTGGTTGCGACTTCGGCAATATTTTGTAAGAAAGGGTTTGCTCCCCACACCGGAGCTCGCGCTATTCCGCCGACTTTACTTGACACTGGACTGACTCACGACTGCCATCCAGAGCACACGAGAAGTCCATCGAACCTTCGACTCGGCAAACCTGCAAGACAGCACCACTCCCTGCTGAATACACAGTGTTTCGGGGAATTCACGCCTCATCAGTTGAGCTTGAGTAGGCTGAGGAAGATTGTGCCTGAAGAGCACCACTTATATAGTGCTCTCCAGGCACAAACATCACCAGGGATACAAACTTACAGAGACGCTCCGTTTCCAGCGCGACAAACACCTCGTGAACACCAGATAGCAGCGTGAGTCAGTGTCGCTCCTGGACGGTGAGACAGAGTCTGAGACGTCGAGGACCCTCGGTCATTCGCAACGCTGTCACCTCCAAACCAACTAGTCGCAAGCCCGCGCTGGGCACAACAGTACGAAGTAGTGGTTGCGACTTCGGCGATATTTTGTAAGAAAGGGTTTGCTCCCCACACCGGAGCTCGCGCTATTCCGCCGACTTTACTTGACACTTGACTGACTCACGACTGCCATCCAGAGCACACGAGAAGTCCATCGAACCTTCGACTCGGCAAACCTGCAAGACAGCACCATTCCCTGCTGAATACACAGTGTTTCGGGGAATTCACCCCTCATCAGTTGAGCTTGAGTAGGCTGAGGAAGATTGTGCCTGAAGAGCACCACTTATATAGTGCTCTCCAGGCACAAACATCACCAGGGATACAAACTTACAGAGACGCTCCGTTTCCAGCGCGACAAACACCTCGTGAACACCAGATAGCAGCGTGAGTCAGTGTCGCTCCTGGACGGTGAGACAGACGTCGAGGACCCTCGGTCATTCGCAACGCTGTCACCTCCAAACCAACACTGACTCACGCTGCTGTCTGGTGTTCACGAGGTGTTTGTCGCGCTGGAAACGGAGCGTCTCTGTAAGTTTGTATCCCTGGTGATGTTTGTGCCTGGATAGCACTATATAAGTGGTGCTCTTCAGGCACAATATTCCTCAGCCTACTCAAGCTCAACTGATGAGGGGTGAATTCCCCGAAACACTGTGTATTGAGCAGGGAGTGGTGCTTTCTTGCAGGTTTGCCGAGTCGGAGGTTCGATGGACTTCTCGTGTGCTCTGGATGGCAGTCGTGAGTCAGTCAAGTGTCAAGTAAAGTCGGCGGAATAGCGCGAGCTCCGGTGTGGGGAGCAAACCCTTTTCTTACAAATAATAATAATAATAATAATCCCGCGTGCTAGTTTGTACGTGAAATGTGTGGGTTACAGTGAGGGTTGCGTCCCACCCGCCTGTGTGGATTCACAGGAAGTGTGAGTTACGGAGTCTGAAGAAAACGTTGAACGGTCTCTGCTTGGATGACGACTACACCATAGCTCAGCGGTTAGAGCATCGCTGGCTACAAGCGAGGGTCCCTGGTTCGAGTCCTGGTGGTGACAGTCAATTTTTTCTTCAGACTTTTCCCGTTTGTCTCTTTCCCTCAAAACCAGTCAATATTTTATGACTTGGGGCTCCCCGCGTGCTAGTTTGTACGTGAAGTGTGTGGGTTACAGTGAGGGCTGCGGCCCACCCGCCTGTGTGGATTCACAGGAAGTGTGAGTTACCGAGTCTGAAGAAAACGTTGAACGGTCTCTGCTTGGATGACGACTACACCATAGCTCAGCGGTTAGAGCATCGCTGGCTACAAGCGAGGGTCCCTGGTTCGAGTCCTGGTGGTGACAGTCAATTTTTTCTTCAGACTTTTCCCGTTTGTCTCTTTCCCTCAAAACCAGTCAATATTTTATGACTTGGGGCTCCCCGCGTGCTAGTTTGTACGTGAAGTGTGTGGGTTACAGTGAGGGCTGCGTCCCACCCGCCTGTGTGGATTCACAGGAAGTGTGAGTTACGGAGTCTGAAGAAAACGTTGAACGGTCTCTGCTTGGATGACGACTACACCATAGCTCAGCGGTTAGAGCATCGCTGGCTACAAGCGAGGGTCCCTGGTTCGAGTCCTGGTGGTGACAGTCAATTTTTTCTTCAGACTTTTCCCGTTTGTCTCGTTCCCTCAAAACCAGTCAATAATAATAATAATAATAATAATAATGCAGACTCGGTGTTTTGTGCACTACCCGGAACTAAGCAACAGCACCATTTTCCTTGTGGCTTGTCGTTTGTAGAGGTTTGACCAATAATCAGATCCCGGCTTTAAGTGACGGTGTGTTCTCTGGTCTAACAAACCTCCAATATCCGTAAGTATTCTCAATTGCGCCACATTGAACGCAGGGAACAGTTGTAGAACTGTGTTTATATAGAGTACTGCTGAACACGTGATGAACAAACCTCTAATACCTGTGAGTATTATTATCTGCTGCACTGATTGAAGGAAACAGTTGTAGACGCTGTGTGTGAAATGCTTTGTTAAGAAGCCTCTGATTCTCGTAAGTGTCAGGAACCACACGTCACGAGGACAACTACTTTTTCATAACGTTATATTTCACTTCATTGAACATAATAACTCAGTCTAAGACCATATGATAATGTATAGCATGCAAATGACAGCGTATACAGTAAATAGTACATAGCGCATATAGCCTATACCATGCATGATGCTTCAGCGGTACGGCGGAGTCTGAATACGTAATTCCTTGGAGAAATGTTGGAGCTAGGTGTCAGGTCTCCAAATGTCCCCGTACTCCTTGTCAGTTTTGTGCCATTTTTTCGCACTCCCTGACCGTATAAGATCTGGTTACGTTGATGGACAGTTAGTCATAACTCGTAACATTTTTTCCTTCTCTTTTTTCACCGTACTTTAATTGGCTCACCATCCGAGTGGCATTTTTCCTTATTCTTTTCTTTTCTTGCAATGGTTGGCTATCGCCCCTCTCTCGCACTTTGCGTGCCAATATTAGTCATGGACCACGGGTTGTGTGAAATGATTTAATAAAACGTTCCTCTTGTATTAATAATAGCTATGAAAAGTATGAATGCCGCAGACATCACCAAGCAACATGACAATTTGTTCCACTTGTAATATTTTTATTTAATTTGTTTTAAATAATCAACTTGGAGACAGTTGATAAATATGGTGATAAAGACACACCCGGCAATATGGCGGTAAACACACGCCTGCCCACACACGCTCTCTAGGCTGCAAAGTTCTAGCACAGAGCTCTCCTTCTCACCACCACCACCATCAGTTCGCGCCTGGCGCCTGGTCAATGCATGGTTGGCGGTATCTGGCATAGCAGGCTGGTACATCAAGTAGCGCATGGCACATAGAAGATGACACAGCAACGACATAGCTCGATTGCGACGTACGTTTCGTCCCCGCTGGACTAATCAGGCAATCTTCTTCTTGGGTGTCTTCATTTGGAGCTTGACTCAGGAGAATGAAGTTGAAGACAACACTGCAGGTGTACTCATGGTTGATAAACATGGTGGTAAAGACACACCCGGCAATATCGCGGTAAACACACACCTGTCCACACACGCTCTTTAGGTTGCAAAGTTCTAGCCCAGAGCTATCCTTCTCACCACCACCTCCATCAGTTTGCGCCTGGCGCCTGGTCGATGCATGGTTGGCGGTATCCGGCATAGCAGGCTGGTACATCAAGTAGGCACATAGATGATGACACAGCAACGACATAGATCGATTGCGACGTACGTTTCGTCCCCGCCGGACTCATCAGGCAATCTTCTTCTCAAGTGGTGGTGAGAAGGAGAGAAGAAGGTTCTGTGCTAGAACTTTGCAGCCCAGAGAGCGTGTGTGGGCAGGCGTGTGTATACCGCCATATTGCCGGGTGTGTCTTTACCACTATATTTATCAACCATAAGTACAGCTGCAGTAGGGTCTTCAACTTCATTCTCCTAAGTCAAGCTCCGTATGAAGACACCCAAGAAGAAGATTGCCTGATGAGTCCAGCGGGGACGAAACGTACGTTGCAATCGAGCTATGTCGTTGCTTTGTCATCTTCTATGTGCCATGCGCTACTTGATTTACCAGCCTGCTATGCTGGATACCGCCAACCATGCATCGACCAGACGCCAGGCGCGAACTGATGGTGGTGGTGGTGCGAAGGAGAGCTCTGTGCTAGAACTTTGCAGCCTAAAGAGCGTGTGTGGGCAGGCGTGTGTTTATCGCCATATTGCCTGGTGTGTCTTTACCACCATATTTATCAACCATAAGTACAGCTGCAGTGGTGTCTTCAACTTCATTCTCCCGACTTGGAGACAACAATTATATAATAGCAATAAAGAGAATAAATTCTGCTGTCATCGCCAAACTACAACGAACCCATAAAAGTTTAATAATTTTTTTGTCACATTCATCAGTGGAAGGTCGTGACTGAAGAGTAACCATGCTGAACAATGTTTTTTCAGAATTCCCAAGCTCCATTGCAGCGTATTCCTTGCACTTGAAAACACCGCCATTCCGGCAACAGGCTCTCAGCTGCACCAAATAAATATCTTTGCCAATATTTCGCCCATTGGGCATCATCAGGGCATTGAGGAAGTGGAGGCCAAATTATGCAGGCAGATGAATGTTCTAGAACTAACACATCGTGGTGACACAATTGGCAAGGCCAGCAAACTAAACAATCATCACGTGTAAGGTGACCTAAACAAAACGAAAGATGAGAAAACTCACACATACACACAGACACAATTTGGCAAGAAAACTAACACTAACACTAACACTAAAGTTTACAATCATCACCTGTAAGGTGACCTAAACAGAAGAAAGAAGACTAGTAAGACCATCACAGCACGTACGGGAACACTTTCATGTGTGGGAATGCTAAAGGCGATCTATGTATATGCTGAAGTTGCTGTTGAGAGGTTTGCTTTCGGACAACGCTGGCAGACGGCTATTGAAGAGAGAACGGAACAAGGGACGGCACAGCAGGTGGAGGAGACGGCGCAGGGTACACCGAGGGAGCAGGACAAATCAGAAGGAAAGGAGCAAGACAGACCATGCAATACTACCCTAGACAACGACATCACCCTGAGGAAGCTCTGTGGGACAACACCTCAACCTCCATTGATGGGAAAGGAAGATGAACGCAAGCTACGGCGCATGAAGGATGACATTATGTCGCTCTATGATGAAGAAACTAAGAGGAACCGCAAACAATGAACGTTCGTACCGCTGTCCCAAGAAGAGAAAGATGAGGTTCAACAGCTTAGGGGAAAACATAGTGTTGTCATAAAGCCGTCAGACAAGGGAAAGGGATTCGTCTTGTTACCCAGTACACAATATGATGAGAAAGCCGAAGCCATGCTGGACCAAGAAGCTGACTATGAGAAGGTGGCCATGACGGTGGACAAACTGGATGAGGAGACAAGACGTTTTGTCGACACTCATCTGAAGAACAAGCTCCCGGAGAAACTGAAGAAGGCAATCAAACCGAGGCACTCGCGGATGCCAAGGTTTTATGGTCTCCCCAAAGACCATAAGGCAGGATTGCCATTGCGTCCCGTGGTCAGTTCTTGCGACAGTCCTACAAGTAACCTTTCGTTGACTGTTGAAAGGATACTGAATCAGCTCCTTATGTTCGTACCTGCTTATCTAGATAGCACCGAAGCCTGCATTGAAGACATCAAGAGGCGTCGCCGGGTCCCGGATGGCTGCATCATCGCCTCATTCGATGTAGTGGGCCTCTATTCGAACATTCCTATAGATGAGAGCATTTCGGCCACTATTACCAAGCTAGAGCAGCATAAATATGATGTCGACATGCTTGGATTGACGGTTGCGGATGTACAGCTGATGTTGCAGTATGTTCTGTCAAACATCTACTTCGAGTTCAATAGTAAACAGTACCGTCAGAAGCGTGGAATTGCGATGGGGAACCATCTAGCACCTCCGCTGGCCATCCTCTTCATGGATGCGCTTGAGCAGAAGGCTCTCTCGACAGCTACAGTGAAGGCTTCAAGCCGGATGTCTACAATCGATATATCGACGACTGCATACTACTGTGGAGACATGGCTGGAAAGGTTTAGCAGCACTTCTAAATCACTTCAACTGACAGCACACTACTATCAAATTCACAATGGAACACTCGGTCAACGAAACTCCGTCAGTGAACTTCCTGGATCTAGCGCTGTCTGTGCGTGGAAACAGCATAGAGTGGGAGCTCTATGTTAAGCCTTCCCACAGTGGTGTCCACCTGTCTTATGAATCATGTCTCCCCTGGTCATGTAAAAGAGCTGTTGCAACGAACCAATTCTCTCGAGCTATCCGTAACTTGTCAACACCGGAAGCGGAAGACAGGAGCAGGTCCATAATTGAAGAGTTGCTCGAGAGAAATGACTATCCACGCACCGAGATAAACGCAGCACGACGAGCAGCCAAGGGGAAGAAACAAGATACACACCCGTCTCAACAACAGCAGCGTGACAGCAAGCGCAGACACAGCCAATTCAAGTCAGTCATCAAACTGCCCTTCATCAACGACTCACTTGCCGCTCGTGTCTCACGACGTGTTCGAAAGTTCAGTCCGCATGTTCTTGTTGTCTTTGTGCCTGGTCCTTCTTTGAAGGATATGTTGGTCCGATCGTCGAGTGCTGTACGTGTGTGTCCCCGTGAGAAGCAGCGATCGGAGGTGAAGAGAGGGAGAGGTCGACCAATGGAGTGTCGTGCATGTGATGCAAGTATGGTGGATAGTCAGTGTTTAGTCAAAGGTGTTGTCTATTGTATGTCTTGCACGTTGTGTGCGGAATTGTGCGTTGGTGAGACCGGTGAGGGACCGATTCGCTGAGCACTACCGAGAGGCAAGGGCGATGGTGGCGAAGGCTCCCTGGGGCTTCCACTATCGTACCCAGCATCGAGAATCTTTAAAGTCTTCCAACTTTCTGCCCTTCCACCAGGCAAAGATTCTCGGCAGGGAGGCTTCGCTACCATCAAGGAAACTGCTTGAAGCTATCGAGATAAGGAAGCGCAAACCAGCAGTCAATTGCGATGACGGCTGGCGCCTAATTGACTGATTGGATGTCACCGGATCGTCACTGGAATCAACACCCATCTCCTCGAACTACCACTGGACTTTACCACCTGACACAGCACATACACCTACTTTGCACATACACCGCTGTCATATATATATTATACATAGATCGCCTTTAGCATTCCCACACTTGAAAGTGTTCTTGTACGTGCTGTGATGGTCTTACTAGTCTTCTTTCTTCTGTTTAGGTCACCTTACAGGTGATGATTGTAAACTTTAGTGTTAGTATTAGTGTTAGTTT